TATCGTGTCCACCCACAACCACATCCAAGTTACAAGAAAACTACAGAACAGCCACCATTCAAAACCGCCTGAAATCAAGCTGAATGGAAGTCCTACAACTACGGAATTAAAGAAGCTGCATTGAGACTGGTAGGAGGGGCGGCGGCGCGACGGACTGGTCCCACACCCACGTGTGGCGATAAAAATCAGGATGACACCTCGGCGGGGAAGGTCCTCCCTGAGGACTGAGGGGTCCCCGTCCCACACCAGGTGCCCTGCTCAGGGTTCCAGTGCCAGGAAGAGAAGTCCCCATAAATTGTGGCTGGAAAAACCAGCAGGAAATGAGGCTCAGGGAGGCTGAGGCGATTGGAGCCCCAGGTGGCTGGAGCCCCAGGCAGCTCCTTAAAGGGCCCGCACGGACTTATCGGACTCTCTTCCTCTAAGCTTGGAGGGGAGGTAGCTCAAGGGGCACCAGAGACATACAGGGAAGAGCTGTTTGGCACTGGAGCGAGGGCTGGAGGGGGGGCTTTCTCCGGGACAAACGTGCTGTCAGAGGCCTTTGTTCCTTTGGTGAGCCCTTCCCTGGGGCGGCAGATAGTCGCCATATCTGGGACTCCAGCAACCTGGCTCACACTGGTAGCCCTGCCCTTCTGACTCCCTGAGGCCCCGCCCCACCCCATCCAACTTTCAGGCCCACCCAAGCTGTTGCCACTAGCTTAACCATAGGATTGGCCTGACTTGGATCCTGCTTCAGGTTTTCCTAAATTTTTTCAAATGAGCAGCATCTGGTCTCAGATAGCCCCATACCGCTCATTAAGTAATACACAGAAACAAACAGAGGGAGGCAGCCAAAATGAGGAGACAAAGAAACAGGTCCCAAATGAAAGAACAGAACAAAACCCCAAGAAAAGAACTAAGCGAAATGGAGATAAGCAACCTAACAGATGCTGAGTTCAAAATACTGCTTATAAGGATACTCAATGAACTCAGTGAGGACCTCAAGAGCATGATAAAGGACCACTCAGAAATGATCGATGCACAGTTAGAAACGAAGGAGGCTTTAACTGAAATAAAGAATAATTTACACAGCTTCAATAATGGAGTACGTGCCCTGGCCGGTTTGGCTCAGCGGTTAGAGTGTTGGCCTGCGGTCCCGAGAGACCCGGGTTCAGTTCCCGCTAAGGGCGCGTACCTCGGTTGCAGTTTGTCCCCGGCCCTGGTCGGTTGTGCGGGTGGCAGCCACTCGATGTGTTCCTTTCACATCGATGTTTCTCTCTCTCTCTCTTGTTCCTCTCTCTCCCTCCCACTCTACCTGAACAAAAAATGGAAAAATGTCCTCCGGTGAGGATAAAAAAGAAAAGAAGTACAAATTGGTTGCTAAACTGACAAACCTCAAAGGGAAAGGGGCTGAGGGGCTGGGGGGGTGGGAAGAAATAAACCAAAGAACTTATATGCATAACCAATGGACACAGACAATAGTGTGGGAAAAGGCGGGAGGGAGGCGGGAGTGGGGAGGAGGGAGTCAATGGGGGAAAAAATGTGGAACATCTGTAATACATTCTACATTCAACAATAAAGATTAAAAAAAAGAACACATTTTAGGGCCACCTCATTGTATTCTATTCCTGGAATGAAAAAGGGGAACACCCTCTCCCCCCCCATAAAAAGAGTGTGAGAATGAATACAAGATTTATTCAAAAGCAGTAAAATGAACTCGCAAGGTAAACAACAACTCCCCGGAACAGCACCTCACACACTGATCCTGCTTTTATCTGGGGTAAATTTCAGAGCACACACCTGGACAGCAGCAGGGAGAAGATTTTTTAATATGTAAAAAAAGTAGCTTAGTTTTGTTTAGTACTCATGTTGACAGTGTATTTAGCTATAATTACTCAGTAAATATTTATCAAAGAGCATGAAAAAAAACCCCAAACATTAAAAGGTCTGAGCCAACGGTAGATCACATCCATAACGCAAGGCCAATGCAGAGCAAAACGATTTTATTACATGTGCCTGCATGCAGGTAGGCTGAGCCTGAAAAGAGGTCAGGCTTGAATAACAGTTGGGGTCAGGTTATATACCCTACTTCTAGCTTCCAGTAGTTCCTGCTGACATACTCTGCCTGGCCCATTGTCCACTTTGCAGTTGGACTGTCTGGTATCACAACCTGCATCTGCTGGGTGGTTCATTGTCTTGCGGATAATCTGATAATCCTTACTCAACAGAAGGCTGAGCAAAGGTCATATAAGCAACGCATTTCTCACAGTTTCAGCCTTTTGCAAGCTTTTGCCTTTACCCTTTAAAACGTTATTAACCCTTTCAGACATTCAAGAAGAAAAAAATTACAGACTATTATTTCTCATGAATATAGATGCAAAGATACTTAAGAAATAGTACCAAATTGAACAATATATAAAAAAGGCCAACATCATAACCAAGTGGGGTTTATCCCAGGAATGCAAAGATGGTTAAATGTTTGAAAACCATTCACAGTAATTCACCATATTAACAGAATAAAAGAGAAAAATCATATGATCATTGTAATAAATGCAGAAAAGAAATTTAAATTTAATTCAATATCCTTTCATGATTAAAAATTAACTCAGAAAATTAGGAATATAGGGAAATTCTGTCCTCTATCTGACAGAGGGCATATCCTGAAAATCTACAGACAGCATAATATTTAACCATGAAAGACTAAATGGCTTCTTCCTCTTCCTAATATGGTACAATGCAAGGGTGCTCATTTCACCATTTTAATTTAATGTTGTATTAGAAGTCCTAGCTAGTGAAATAAGGCAAGAAAAAAAATACACACAGATTGGAAAGGAAGAAGTAAAACTGTTTCTATTAGCAGATGACATGATTGCTACTTTTAAGTTTATTCTAAGAAATCTAAAAAAACCACTAGAATTATAAGTGAATTTACCAAGGTCAGAGGATACTAAGTCAATGTACAAAGTCAAATGTATTTCTCTATTACAGCAGCAAACAACTGGAAAATGAAATAATTCCACTTATAATAGCATTAAAAATCACAAAATATTTATTACTAAAACTTTTTTCTTTATTGATTCTAGAGAGAGAAGAAGGGAGAGGGAGAGAGAGATAGAAACATCGATGAGAAAGAACATTGATTGGCTGCCTCCTGCATGCATGCCTCCTACTGGGGATTTGGCCTACAATCTGGGCATGTGTCCTGACCGGGAATTGAACTAGTGACCTCTTGGTGCATGGTTCGATGCTCAACCACTGAACCACACCGGCTGGGCAAAAATCACAAAATATTTAGAAATATATTTAACAAAAGATGTAGAAGACCTCTATGCTGAAAGCTACAAATTAAAAAAGATTCAAATAAATAGAGCAGTATACCATGTTTGTGGATTGTAAAAGTTAAGGTTGTTATGATGCTCATACTCTAAAAATTCATCTATAAGCTTTTACAGAAATTAAAAAGCTGATTTTTAAAAACTAGCCTTATTATCTAGTGATAATTTTAGACTTACAGAAAAATTGCAAAAATAGTACAGAGTTCTTGTATACCTCTCATTCAGCTTCCCATAAGTTAACATCTTACATATACTATCAAACATTTGTCAAAACTAAGAAATGAGCACTGGTACATTACTGTTACTTTATCTGGATCCAATCCAGGATACCACACTACATTTAGTTTTGTTTCCTTAGTCTACTTGAAGCTGTGACAATTGATCATTTTTCAATGTTTCCTTGTTTGTTTGAAATGAATTTGACTGTTTTGAGTGATACTGCTCAGGTGTTTTGTAGAATGTCCCTCAGTTTTGGTTTTCCTCAAGCTTAGACAGGGATTATGGATTTTGGGGGGAAGAAAGCCATAGAGGTGAAGTATCCTCCTCCTCATATACTAAGGGGTATAAGGTTATCAACATGATTTATCTCTAGTGATGTAACTTGATCACTTGGTTCAACAAGCTGATTTTATTTTTCACTTTTTTAAAAATTAATTTATCTTTGTTACAGATGTTTCTCCTTTTTTTCTCCATTGACACCCTCCCCACCCCACCCCACCCTGTTCCTGGCTTTGTTGTCCGTGTCCATCGGTTATTCGTACATTCATATAAGTTCTGTGGTTTATCTCTTCCTTCCCCCCACCACCTTCTCTTCTGAGGGTTGTCAGTCTGTACCCTACTTCCATTTCTCTGGGTCTACCCTATTCCTCATACTGTTATGTTCATTATATTCCACAAATAAGTGAGATCATGTGATATTTGTCTTTTTCTGCTTGGCTTGTTTATCTTAGGATAATACTTTCCAGGTCCCTCCATGTCATCTCAAAGGATAAGAGATCTTCCTTTCCTTTTTTTTTTTTATCCTCACCTGAGGATATTTTTCCATTTTTTGTTCAGATAGAGCGGGAAGGAGAGAGAGGAAGAGAGAGAGAGAGAAACATTGACGTGAAAGGGACACATCGAGTGGCTGCCACCCGCACTACCCAATCAGGGCCAGGGACAAACTGCAATCGGGGTACATGGCCTTAGCAGGAACCGAACCCGGGTCTCTCTGGACCGCAGGCTGACGCTCTAACCGCTGAGTCAAACCGGCCAAGGCTGCCTTTCCATTTTGATGGTTGTTTCTTTTGCTGTGCAGATGCTTTTTAGTTTGATGTAGTCCCATGTGTTCATTTTTTTCTTTGTTTCTGTTGCCTTAGGTGATGTATCAGTGAAAATTCTGCTGTGTATGAAGTCCAAAATTTTGTTGCCTACATTTTCTTGTAGTATTTTTATGGATTCACGGGTCACATTTAAGTCTTTTATTCATTTTGAGTTTATTCTTGTGTATGGTGTAAGTTGATGGTCTACTTTCATTTTTTTTTTTTTTTTGCATGTAGCTGTCCAATTTTCCCAACACCATCAACAAGCTGGTTTTTTAAAAATAATGAAAAGTCACAATTTTGCTATTAAGGTCACACGTTGTGCTTTGACTCATATTGTTTCATATACGCTGATCAAGGGTGTGAGGATGCCCACTGGGGCACTGCAAAAAATATGCAATGCTTCACAGCTTTGCGTGTCATCCTTGTGCAGGGGTCATGCTAATCTTCTCTGTATTATTCCAATTTTAGTATATGTGCTACTGAAGTGAGTACTTAACAAACTGATTTAAAAATTTATGTGGAAATACAAAGGACCTAGTATAGCAGAAACAATTTTGAAAAGTAAGAGCAAAGCTGACGGATTTACATTACCTCACTTCAAGCTTTACTACAAAGCTATAGAAATCAAGACTGTGAAATTGTCATAGGATAGACAAAAATATCACTGGAGCAGAATAGAAAGTTGAGAAAAGTCCCACATTTATATGGTCAATCAATTTTATTCTATTTTATTTTATTTTAATTGTTTTTTGTTTTGTTTTGTTTTTTTTAGAGAGAGAGAGAGAGAGAAGAAAGGAGAAGGAGAGAGAGATAGGAGCATCAATGAGAGAGAGAATTATCAACATCAATTGGCCTCTTCCTGCACATCCCCTACTGGGGATCATGCCCACAACCTGGGCATGTGCCCTGACTGGGAATTGAACCAGTGATCTCTTGGTGCATAGGTTGATGCTCAACCACTGAGCCACACCAGCTAGGCTGGTCAATCAATTATTATTATTATTATTATTATTAATCCTCACCTGAGAACATTTTTCCATTTTTGTTCAGATAGAGCGGGAGGGAGGAAGAAGAGGAGAGAGAGAGAAACATCAATGTGAAAGGGACACATTGAGTGGCTGCCTTCCGCAGGACCCCAACCAGAGTTGGGGACGAACCACAACCGAGGTATGTGACCTTGACCGGAATTGAATCCGCAACTCGTTGGTCCATGGGCCGACGCTCTAACCCCTGAGCCAAACCGGCCAGGGCTGGTCAATCAATATTAAAGAAATATATAAAAACAATTCAGTGGGGAATTGTGTTTTCATCAAATGGTGTTGGAACAAGTGGGTATCCACTTAGAAAAATAGATTGAGAAAGCTGCCTAACATTACCAAGTTTATGAGTGGTACAGACAGGATTCTAAGCTAGACTTTCTGGCTAACACGTGTTATAAATTGTGAATATAAATTTATAATCAATACATATAGGCCACAATATTTTTCTGACTCAATTCAATTTATGGTCATACTTTTCAAAAATGTTAATGTCATAAAAGAAAAAGAAAGGCTGATGAAATGTACCTGATTAAAGGAGAGTAAGGACACATAAATAAATGCATTGCATGATTCTGGATTGGATCCTGGATCACATAGACACATCAAAATTCCGCAAATATATTATTATAACAATTGGAAAATGATATGGACAGCATGTTAGATAATAGTTTTGTATGAATGTTAAATTCCCTGAATTTAAAAATCATACTGGGGTTATGTAAGAGTATTTTCTTATTCTTAGAAGATACAGAATTATTTGGAGGTAAAGGGTCATGATGTCTGCAACTTATTCTGAAATGGCTTAACATTATTAACATTAACAGTAAATATATATCAAAGAAACCAAATATGGACAAGTGTTAACAATTGGTGAATCTAAATTAGAAGTGTATGGGAGTTAGTTGTATTATTCGTTCCACTTACCTGTTTGAAATTCTAAAACAAAAATTTAAATATTAATTTAGAAGAGATCGAAAAATGGCGGCGGAGTGAACGGAAGCTACACAGACCGTCTCCCAGAACCAAACTGGAATTACAACTATAACACAGACAAATTGATGGGAAAAAGCAACAGAAAAGCAGCTTGGAGGACCATATAACTAGGGACACAGACTCGACCCCAGTAGGATTGCGAAGGCGCAAGATGGGGGCTGGGAGCCCATGGTCTGCAGCAGCTCAGCAGCGGCCTTAGCTGGGAGCCGCGCCCTTGGGTTACACTCCCAGGCAGCTCCACAGCACAGAGCCGGGACAGAGGCTAAAAAAGCCACAGCCACTCACCTTGGGCTCTGGCAGAGGGAGGGCAGACTGGACTGGAACTGTGTCGGGACACTCGGGATTTGTAGGGCACCCAGAGCGTTTGCTGAGTGCCAGCCACACAGGACGGTGGCCACATTGCTCCTTCCCAGGGCTCTGGGGAGAGGCAGCAGCCCCTCCCTCGGAGATCCAACCCCACCCTGAGGGCCACTGAAGTGCTAATTGAGGCTCATTAACAACCAGCATCTGCCCCACCCTCGTGAAAGCCCCTTGTGCTGAGCACCTGAGGGAGTTTTTCAATCAACTGACAACCCAAAACTCATCAAGTAACCTTGACTGCTAGCCTCCAGGCAAAAAGCTAGAGGATAACAGTACCTTTCCTGGGCTGGCAACTTTAACCAGGAAAGTAAGACTTGACAGTGGTGTTTAACATGGGTCCTCCCTCACTCATCTAAACACAGGAGAGGGAGCCACAAACAGCAGAACACCAACACCCACAGGGAAAACTTGACAGGCTCCAAAGCCCACGGTGAGAGCCAAAATGGTGAAACAGAAGCATAAAAGAGCAAGAGACCTCCACTGAAGATGAGATCAATGTGGAGCAATTAGGCATGTTAACAGAGCTAGAATTCAGAGCCATGATCTTGAGGAAGCTGAACAGCATGAGTAAGAACATAGAGACACTGAAAATAAGCCAATTGGAAATTAAAAACCATCAAGAAGAGATAAAAAATGACATATCAGAAATGAAAAACACATTGGAAGGTTTAAAAAGCAGAGTAGAGGAAGCTGAGGACCGGGTCAGTGAATTAGAAGACAGGGTAGAAAAAATCAACCAATCAGAAAAACAAAAGGAAAAAACTATTAAAAAACAGGAAGACAGCTTAAGAGAACTGTGGGACAACTGGAAACATAATAATATTCGCATCATAGGAGTTCCCGAAGAAGAAGAAAATGAGCAAGGGATAGAGAATATAGTCAAAAAAATAGTGACAGAAAACTTCCCTAATTTGGTGAAGGAAGAAGGCATTCAAGTTCAAGAAGCACAGAGAGTCCCAAGTAAGAAGAACCCAAACAGGCCCACACCAAGACACATAGTAATTAAAATGCCACAAATTAAAGACAAAGAGAGAATCCTAAAAGAGCAAGAGATAAGCAACAGGTTACCTACAAAGGAAACCCCATAAGGCTCTCAGCTGACTTCTCACAAGAAACACTACAGGCCAGAAGGGAATGGCATGAAGTAATCAAAGTCATGAAAAACAAGAATCTGAATCCAAGACTACTCTACCCAGCAAGGCTATCATTCAACATAGAAGGTTAAATAAAGAGCTTCCCAGGCAAAAAAAAAAGGCTAAGGGAATACATTAGCACCAAACCAGCACTGCAAGAAATGTTAAAAGGACTGCTGTAATTAACAGTAGAAATGGGAAGAAAAATAGAACCACACTAAACAAAAATGGCAATAAATAAGTACATATCAATAATCACCTTAAATGTAAATGGATTGAATGCTCCCATAAAAAGACACAGAGTAGCTGATTGGATAAGAAAGCATGACTCATCTATATGTTGTTTACAAGAAACCCACCTCAGAACAAAAGACTCACATAGGTTGAAACTGAAGGGATGGAAAAAATTTTTCCAAGCAAATGGAAAGCAAAAAAAAAGCTGGGGTAGCAATTCTCATATCTGATAAAATAGATTTCAAAATGAAGACCATAACTAGAGACAAAGAAGGCCACTACATAATATTGAAAGGATCTATCCAACAGGAAGATATAACCTTGATAAACATATATGCACCCAATATAGGAGCACCAAAATATATTAAAAATCTTCTGGAGGACTTCCAAGGAGAAATCGACAACAATACAATCATAGCAGGGGATTTCAACACCCCGTTGACAGCACTGGATAGATCCTCTAGGCAAAAAATTAGCAAGGAAACAGATACTCTAAATGAAGCACTAGACCAAATGGATTTCATAGATATCTACAGAGAATTACACCCCAAAACTACAGAATACACATTCTTCTCAAGTGCACATGGGACATTCTCAAAGATAGACCACATGATAGGACACAAACTAAATCTCCACAAGTTCAAGAAGGTTGAAATCATATCAAGCATCTTCTCAGATCACAATGGCATGAAACTAGAAATCAATTGCAACAAGAACATGCAAAGACATTTCAACACATGGAGGCTAAATAGCATGTTATTAAACAATGAATGGGTCACCGACGAGATCAAGGAAGAAATTAAAAACTTCTTGGAAACCAATGAAAATGAACACACAACAACACAAAATCTATGGGATGCAGCGAAAGCAGTTCTGAGAGGGAAGTTCATAGCACTACAGGCCTACCTCAAAAAACAAGAAAAATTTCTAATTGACTGTCTAACCTCACAACTTAAAGAATTAGAAAGCAAACAAACAAAAAAACCCAGAGCAAGTAGAAGGAAGGAAATAGTAAAGATCAGAGCAGAAATAAATGACATAGAGACCAAAAAAACAATTCAAAGGATCAATGAAACAAAGAGCTGGTTTTTCGAAAAGATAAACAAGATTGATGGACCCTTAGCTAGACTCACCAAGAAACAAAGAGAGAGAACCCAAATACACAAAATCAGAAATGAAAGAGGAGAAGTAACAACCAACACCACGGAAATACAAAAGATCGTTAACAACTACTATGAATAACTATATGGCAACAAATTCGAAAATCTAAGCAAAATGGACAAATTTCTAGAAACACACAGACTCCCAAAACTGGACCCGGACGAGATAGAAAACTTGAACAGACCAATAACAACTAAGGAAATTGAAGAGGTAATCAAGACTCTACCAGCAAACAAAAGCCCAGGCCCAGATGGCTTCACGGGGGAGTTTTACCGAACATTCAAAAAAGAACTAACACCCATTCTCCTCAAACTATTTCAAAAGATTCAAGAAGAAGGAAGACTTCCAAACACGTTCTATGAGGCCAGCATAAATCTAATTCCAAAACCAGAAAAAGACACTACGAAGAAAGAAAACTACAGGCCAATATCCCTGATAAACATAGACGCCAAAATCCTGAACAAAATATTAGCAAATCGGATCCAGAAATACATCAAAAAAATTATTCACCATGACCAAGTGGGATTCATTCCAGGGATGCAAGGCTGGTACAATATTCGCAAATCAATAA